CTGGTAAAATCCCATCCACGTGAACTAACTGGAGACTGGAGGGTGTTGACTTTAACTGTTGACATGATTGTGTAGGAAACTTCGGTCTGTGGGACCAGCAGGCTGCCATCGCCTGGGTCCACAGGAACATCCGCTCCTTTGGAGGAAACCCTGACAACATCACCATTTTTGGAGAGTCTGCAGGTGGCGCTAGTGTTAACTTTCAGGTCAGGAGTGTTTCTGTGAATTAAAGTAGAAGTTCAGACTAGATGTGAATGCAGGCTCAAGGAAATAAAATTCTTCTCCATGAGCTACAGCTTAGTCAATAGACAGCCAAAGTTAACTATTGACCATTTTTCTGACCCAGTCTTTGACACCTCTGTGTTTCTGTCTGTTTATCCGGCTCTGCAGACACTGACTCCTCACAACAAAGGTTTGTTCAAGAGAGCCATCTCTCAGAGCGGTGTGGCCCTGTGTCCATGGGCCATCAACGAGAACCCCCGGAAATTTGCTGAGGAGGTACGACTCGGACTATTCTCCAGGTTGTTACTTCTATGAGTGTTTGTTGTTCCCTGTGGGTGAAGAATTGTCACCAAATGTTATTAAAAGAAATCTGCAGAGTACAAATGTCTCTGACTTCACAGCTGTCTGTCTGACATCATGAAGAGACATTGAACTTTCTCTCGGCATAAAGTTTGAGTTCTTGCTTGTTAACGGCAAACACCAGTCTTGAAGTGAATGCATCCAAAGGCTGTAAAGTTTGAACCTGTGGCCCTGACATTTCATTTGACTTTGGAGTCAAGGTTCAAAGAATGTCTTAAACACTGTTGAATATTTCTCTGCTCTCCCTTCAGGTGGCTCTGAAGGTCAAGTGTCCCACTGATGAGAGGATGGCAGCCTGTTTGAAGATGACCGACCCTGCTCAGCTGACCTTGGCCGGCTCTCTAAGTCTGTCCAGCTCACCTGATAGTAAGTCACCAACACACACAGGAGCCGGGTTCATTTTAGTTAAAAGATCGATAATAATAATAATAACAAAAGAGGAAAATAGAATCTTTAGTCTCTTCTGTGTCACAGAAGTCCACAGAGAAAATCAATGATTTTTCACTAGTGATATAAAGAAGTTATGGACCTCAGGTGATTGGCACAGAACTGAAGGACTCTTCTTTTTCTGCATCATTTCCCATCATCCTCCTGTCAGGCCCTCTGGTGGAGAATCTGCTTCTCTCTCCGGTGGTTGATGGTGACTTCCTGCCCTCCGAGCCTCACAACCTGTTCCACAACGCTGCTGACATCGACTACATCATCGGAGTCAACGACATGGACGGACACATCTTCACAGCCATGGACATTCCTTCAATCAACTCCCAGCTGGTGGACACACCCATGTGAGTGTTTGTCCTTCGATCCCGATTTAACTGTTAGCTGCATCTGGAAATCACTTGGACCTGATTTTCTGTTGTCATGTTTGGAATAATCTGGAGCTACATTTTGACTAACAGTTAGCTAATTTTCCTGTTGCCCCGCTGTAGCTGTTCTTGATATTTTTCTTTCAAACCAAACATTGCTTACTTTGTTGTATTTTGGAGCCTGACTATACAATAAAACTAAACTGGGATATTTTGAAAACAACGAAAAAAACTTAATTCCATCCAGTACAACAAAATACCTGGTTTAAAATTCGAGACTCTAATCCAGAATTTAAGGTTCAAATCTCCACTGCTTCTTTTCAGTGAGGACATGAAGACACTTCTGACATCATACACCAAAGACAAAGGCAAAGCTGGCCTGGACCACGCCTACGCCACATACACCTCCAGCTGGGGGTCCAACCCCAGCCGGGAGACCGTCAAGAAAACTATTGTTGCCATTGGAACGGACTACATCTTCCTGGTTCCTGCTCAGGCCGCACTTTATCTTCACGCTTCCAACGCCCAGTAAACACCAAACCATGCTTTTATGTTGTAGATTAGATTAGATTTGACTTCATTCATTGCGTAATTGTTGTATTGCAGCAGCAAAGGGAGAGAGGTGCAAAAAACAGAGAATTGTGCAGAGCTATTGCAACAAGTGACCACAAGGGCGGCGTCAACTTTACTTTTCATTATTATTTTTGTTGTTAAACTGTTGATTTGCCTTTGATGGTTCATAGTTCTGGGTCAGTTAATTTTCCACCTCCCTCCCTCACCACTACACCAAAGTCTGTAGAGAAAATTGGTGATTTTATCCCAGGGAGTCACAGCACCTGTTAAAACTCTGCTGCCTCATCGTTAAATTTAAATATGTTATTTTGTGATTACAGTTTTTAAAAAAATCATTTATGGCCAGGTTTGCCAGAGTGACTGACCACAGGAGGCAGCAGAGTTCCCCTCTCTGTTCTAGTCCCCAGTGTTTGTTTATTCTCATCCCAACTTTTATTTTCCTTTCTTTCTGCCTCAACAGAACAGGAAAAACGTATTCCTACGTCTTTTCTGAGCCAAACCGAATGGGCGGTATCGCCAAACCCTACCCCAGCTGGATGGGAGCAGACCACGCCGACGACTTGCAGTATGTGTTTGGAAAACCATTCACCACTCCGCTGGGATACTGGCCGCGTCACCGTGACCTCTCTGGATACATGATCGCCTACTGGACTAACTTTGCCAAAACTGGGTAACAGAAAAATCCATAAAGAGAAAAAAGGAATAGAAAACATTGAAAAGAAAAATCTTTCGTTAGTTTTTACATTTACAGAATACATTTGTATTATATATTTCCTGAGAACAAGTGTGTGATATTGAGTATATCAAAATCAAAATCTTAGCTTTTTTTGAAATATTTTTTGTTACTGCCTGGTAACTAGGTCATAACTATCAGTTTTTTGGGCTAAGCGTTAGCTGTTTTTTTGTCTCTCTCACCTCTTCAAAATTCTAGTGATCATGACGTTCAATTTTCAACCTTATTCACAACTTTTCAGTCCTCTTCAAAATTCTAGTGATCATGACGTCTATTTTTGTTCAATTTTCAACCTTCACAACTTTTCAGTTTATGCATTTTCTACCCGTGGCTTACCATTCAGTACAGTGAATATATTTCTACTGAACTCTTATTATTTATTGTGCTTTAAAAGTTCTCCAGGTTCTGTAACATTTTTTTCCTGCTCCACAGAGACCCTAACAAAGGAGACATGTCTGTCCCCGTCACCTGGCCAAGATTCACCAGCGCCGGACACCAGTTTGTGGACATTCACGCTAAAATGGACAATGGCTCAGTGGGACAGAAGATGAGACTGCGTTACGTTCATTTCTGGTCCAGCATTCTGCCCAGTCTGAGTCCAGAGTCAAGATGAATAAACTGATCAGATCAAAGCAGCTGCTGTGGGCTTTTATTTCACTCGCTTTTTTTCTTTTGTTTAATAAATAATAAATATAAATTCACTAGACTTTAAACTTAATTCATAACAACAGCCAAATAGTCATGTTGTAGTATTATTACTGTATTATTTACACAAAAATGTAGTGCAGATATTTATTTTTTGGGGTGATTTCATGTTTCTCAAAATGGGTCAGTATATATTTTTAATTCTTTTTCACTGAATTTATCCACTGAAGAAATACTGTTACGAGACTCAAACTCTTGTCACTTTTTGTCTTAAACACTATGTTTCTGTAGATATTTACAGTAGAGTTTAAAACATTTAACATTTTAATCTCCATAATTTGATACCAAAACAGCAGAGCACTTTTTTCAGTCTTATCTGAGGTGTGTGTTGTTTTTCTCTCGTGTGTGTGAACAACTCCATCTGGGGTTTCAAACCAGCAACACCTTTTTTTTTCATCTTGTATTTACAGCTGACAATATCAGAGAGAGAGAAGTGTTTTTGTCATTCAACAGGAACATTTAATAAATACAAATAAGTAATTCATCAGAAATCTAAATACAACAAACTTTATTATTTTATTAAATTTTATGATTCGATTTTTTTCACAGTGTGATGTGAATGATGTGAATTTAATGTTCAAAAAGCAAATAATATAAATAAAATAAAACTTTATATCTTTTTTTACATTAAATAAAGTAAGTTCTATTATCTTTTTTTACATTAAATAAAGTAAGAAAAAAATAAAATATTTTTTTCTATTTTTTTACAATAAAGAAAAATATAGTTCTAATCTTTATATTTTTAAAATGTTAATGCTATAATGGAAGTAAACTGAATAATACAGTGAATATAATCATATAACATATCAAGTTTCAAAAGGCATATATACTGTATATAACAAAGTAAAAATCCTGTGACCTGTTCAACGTTTGTACATGTGTATCAGTGAGTGTGTGTGTGAGTGTGTGTGTGCGCGCGTCAAAGCCTGTTTCACAGCCTGTGTTTTCTCACAGGTCAGTCAGCAGTCACAGGTGTGGAAGGCTGTGAATCAACACTAAACAGGTTTTTGAAACCTTAAATTCTCACACACACCTGACGGTCTCTCTGTTCTCACATTCTGTGTCTGTTCCAGTTCCTGCTGCCATGTGGACCAGGATGGAGACGGTGCTGAAGACGGTTCTGACTCTCGTCTCCTGTCTGGGAACAGTTTCTGCAGCTTCTGTGAGTTCGAACACAGTTTGTAACATTTCACTGAGCAGAAAAACAACAAAAACAAAAAATGAACTTTAATTTTTTTATTCTTTCCGTCCACAGCTGGGTGTGGTTCAGACTGAGGGGGGCAGTGTTCAGGGACAGATTGTCCCTCTTGGAATTTTCCGCTCTGTGGATGTTTTTAAAGGAATTCCTTTTGCTGCCAAACCTGGAATTTTTGAGAAACCAAAAGCTCATCCTGGCTGGAGCGGTGGGTGAAGATGTACATTACATGATGACGATGATGATGATGATGATGACGATGATGATGATATTCCAGGTGTATTTTAGGATGTTAAGTAATATTTTAAGTGATTTGCAAAAGTGTTTATAATCCTAAATGCCTTTGCCTTACAACAAGAAGGTCAGTGGTTTGATTCCTAGTTTTAACTGCTTTCTATATAGTGTTCACAGTCCAGAAAAAAAAGCAGATTGGGGATTAGGTTCTTGGTTCACACTGACCACAGGTGTAACCTAGATATTGTTCTGATCTGCAGGAACCCTGAAGGCCACTAAGTTTGCTAAGCGATGTCTCCAGATGACTTTACTCCAAACCTCAACCATCGGCAGTGAAGACTGCCTCTACCTCAACATCTGGGTTCCTCACGGCCGACAAGGTGCTGTTTGAATCTTCACGGTGTCACAATGACGGTATTGTTTTAATGTTAGGACAGACGTCCATTAAGATAGAGCCTTAGTCATCCATGTCTCTCCTGCAGTGTCCTCCAACCTCCCAGTGATGGTCTGGTTCTATGGCGGAGCCTTCATGGTGGGTGGATCCATGGGACCAAACTTCCTCAACAATTACCTGTACAGTGGTCAGGAGATCGCAGGCAGGGCTGGTGTCATTGTGGTGTCAGTGGGATACAGAGTGGGAACGCTAGGATTCCTCAGTACAGGAGATTCCAGGTTACCTGGTACGTGGGGGGGGGGGGGGGGGGGGGGGACTGTCCAGGGTGTTTAAGAATGTTTCATTGGTTATAGATCGCATTGACACAGCAGTTGCTAGTCAACTACTGCCTAGCTTTGGTCTCAGTGATACAAACTGACCACAGGTGGCAGCAGTGGACCAGCAGCACCTGTATCCCTGTGAGCTAAAAGAGTGGCAGTAGTTTAGTAGGTAGTACAGTTGCTCAATACAGTATCAATACTCACCACATGATCTGTGATCACATGATCTATGATCACATGATCTGTTTTGTATTTTTACATTTTTTAAGACTTCTATAAAACTGAGAAATGACCTGTCTTGCAGGAAACTACGGTCTGTGGGACCAACACTCTGCCATTGGCTGGGTCCACAGGAACATTCGTGCTTTTGGAGGAGACCCAGAGAACATCGCTATCTTTGGAGAATCTGCAGGTGGCGCCAGCGTTAACCACCAGGTATCAGTACAACACAGAGAGAACGTTTCTGTAAAGGGTTTGTTTTGATCATGTGGTCGTGTGTTTGTCAACAGATGTTGTCTCCTCACAACAAAGGGCTGCTGAAGAGAGCCATCTCTCAGAGTGGGGTCGCCCTCTGCTCCTGGGCTCTGAACAGGAACCCTCTCAAGGTGGCGGAGCAGGTTGGTCCTCATCTGGTTTTTATTGTAATGGTCCAACAGAGCAGGCAGGACATCAAACCTGAAACTGTTGAGATCTGCGCTTGTCTGTAGGTGGCAGTAAAGGTGGGCTGTCCCACTGATGACCAGATGGTGACCTGTTTAAAATCCACTGATGCCCAGACTCTGTCTATGGCTACTAAGATTCATCAGGGAACTCCAGACCGTGAGTCCTCCACCACCTCCACCACAGCTGAAGAAGTCAGGTCAAAACCATAGAGTTAAACTGTGTTTAGGTATAAGCCTGACTTAAGTCAGTCTGGGTGTGTAGGCAGGAGGGAATGATCACTGACCCCTGACCCAGACCAGAGGTCAGCGACCTTCAAAATCACATACAATTCATCAAGAGCTGCACAAACACATTTAAACTATTTCATGAATGCAATAGTAAAGTGAAGGACGTTTCAATGAAGGTCCGATGCTAAAAGATTGAAGCGCCCCTGTTGTTAACCTCTGGCCCAGATGACATGACATGGTGACATCAGAATTATAATCCCAGATTTGAACAGTTTTACACGGTTGTGAAATCTGTAATCTTGCAGGTTGGTGTACATTTTCACTTCAACATTGTTGCTTTTGTTTTTCGCCTCAGATCCTGCTGTTATGAACCTTCTCCTCTCTCCTGTGGTCGACGGTGACTTTCTCCCTGATCAGCCTGAAAACTTGTTCCATAACGCTGCAGACATCGACTACATCGCAGGTGTCAACAGCATGGACGGTCATCTGTTCACCTCCATGGACATCCCTTCTCTGGGGAAGAAGAATCAGTCAACTCCTGTGTGAGGAGCGTTTGTTTATCAAAATTAAAAACTGAATTTGTAAATGTGTGATACAAACATGGAGCTGCACACATGTTTCCTGCTCAGGAAAGATGTCCGCCGACTCCTTGCTGCTTACACCAAGGACAAGGGTCAGGCTGGTCTGGACCTGGCCTTCGCTCAGTACACGTCAGGCTGGGCTCCAGACTCCACACCCAGTCAGGAGGAGATCAAAAGAACAGCTGTGGACATCGGAACCGATTACATCTTCCTGGTTTCAATTCAGACCGCCATCAAGCTGCACGCTGCTAATGCCAGGTGGTGCTAACACGAAGACTGTGTATCTATCTATCTATCTATCTATCTATCTATCTATCTATCTTTCTATCTATCTATCTATCTATCTATCTATCTATCTATCTATCTATCTATCTATCTATCTATCTATCTATCTCCATCCATCCATCTATCAAAAAATTGAATTTCTTTAGATAATGTAAAAACTCTTAGTGTCATGTTGTGTTCCAGATCAGGGAGAACCTACTCGTACCTGCTGTCTGAGCCCAGTCTCATGGCAGGACCAGGGAAGCCCTACCACGACTGGGTGGGTTCTGACCATGCTGATGATCTGCAGTTTGTCTTTGGGAAACCCTTCACTACACCCAAGGCTTATGGAGACCAGCACAGAAGGCTGTCTGGATACATGATGGCCTACTGGACCAACTTTGCTACAACAGGGTAAAATAAGTCTGTTGATGAAAATAAAAACTTGCTGAGGGTCACACACAGGGGCTATAACTAATACAATAAAAGATAATAGTCAGTCAAAACCATAGCTAAACATTATTTCAGAATTTATTAAAAATTAAAGGGACTACTGATTAACTCCAGATTAAGCTTTAGCAAGAAGACAAATATTAAAAGTTAGCAGAGATGAAGCAAAGACCAACCAAACAAGTAAGATGTCTGGAATGTTTAGGTTTTAACATTTAGAACTTGTTTTTGAACCCATTTCCACAGAGATCCAAACACAGGGAAGCTTGAGGTTCCTGTGACCTGGCCTGAATTTACTAGTACCAAACAGCAGTTCTTGGACATCAACAGTTCCATGACCCAGGACTCTGTGAGACAGGATATGAGGTCCCGGTATGTTCTGCTTTGGACCAGCACCCTGCCCAGTCTTCCATCCTATCACAACACTGCTGCTAATTGATAGTTTTATAGTGGACTTTGGTCTGTGAGCTAAAATCACTGATTTTCTCTATGGACTTTGGTCTGTGAGCTAAAATCACTGATTTTCTCTAAGTTGAGAGTGGTTTACAAACGTCAGTTTCTGCTACAACATTGAAATAAAGATATGAACTTTGAGTGACAGATTTTGAGTCGTTTGTTTCGTGGCTAAAACAATTATTTTTCTGATGCTGGCTGATTGACGAGCCATAAAATGAAAAATAACGACCTCTGACCAATCAGAGGATCGTGAGTTAATAAGTGGGCGTGTCCGTAACTTGGATTCAACACAAACACATGAGAATAGTCAGGAGTTGGATCAGTGTGTGGAGACTGATCAGTGAGCTGAGGTGTGATGTCGATGCTGACGCTGATGCTGACGCTGATGCTGATGATGGAGACAGAGACGGCGCTGACGCTGGATTCTGCTGCTACTGCTGTTGTGGTGACAGTGGCTGCAGCTTTGACTCTGCACTGGCTCTACAGGCTGCTCTTCTGCCCCCTGCTGCTGCTCAGGAGAATGCAGGATGTGGGTTACGTGGCCGCAGACCATCGATCCAGAGCCCAGGTGGCTAATGAGGTTCGGCGCCGCAGGAAGATCGGAGACCTGCCACCGGTGTATCCCAACGGCTGGTACCGAGTGCTGGATTCATCCAGGCTGGAGAGAGGAGAAGTTCAGAACGTCACTGCGCTGGGTGAGAAAAGGATGAAGAAGATGACCAATTAGGCACATTAGACATCAGATATAAACTTCTGAAATGTCTCTCTCTCTCTCTCTCTCTCCATTACTGTGCGTTTTCACGCGTTGCCATGCAGTGAGCCGAAGTTTGTTTTACAAATGTAACTGAAGCTTTACCTCATCAAACACTTTGGTCTTTTGTCTCTTTTGTGTGTGTTTGCTCTGCTGCTTAGTGACCCGTTGATGTTGTATGAAGAAGTTGCCGGTTCACTTCCTGATTCATTGTTTATTCCATTCTTTCCCTTGTTCATTTAAAGGTGGACAAAGACAAAGATGCCAACACACTGATTGTTGCTGCACAGCACTGAGTGTTTGTCAGCAGTTAAGTCTTCCTGTGCACACGCGTGTGCTCCCATACTACGTGCACATGTATGTTCAGTTTTTGACAGACTCTCCTCACTGTCCTGTTCTGATCTGGGACTAAGTTAAAGGCTGTGAAGACAGTCAGGTACAGCAGAGACAAACTGATGAACTAGTGACATCATCACCGCGTCATGTGACTCTGACTAAATCTCACATCTCATACTGTTGCACAAAGTTCACTGCTGCTTCTCGCCGCTGTCGTGTCTCTGGCTGACCTTTGACACCAGCGTCTCCAAACAGAGGCCTGTCCTCAAAGACAAATGTTTGTTGTGTCAGTTACTAAGTCCTAGTAGTAATTCAGTCTTTTTTCCTCCAGGTGAGGAGTTGGCAGTGTTTCGTGGAGAGGATGGAAAAGCACACGTGTTGGACGCCTACTGCCCCCACCTGGGGGCCAACTTGGCTGTGGGTGGGAAGGTGGTGGGCAACTGCATCGAGTGCCCGTTTCATGGCTGGCAGTTTCGTGGACAAGACGGAAAGTGTGTGAGGATTCCCTACGCAGAGAAAGGTCATAAGGCAGTCGGCTTTGAAATGGTTCAAAACTGGAGGAAAAGGAGAGTCAATCTCTGCTCCTTTAGCTTCTTCACTCCAGTAGGAACCACCCCACCTAGAGGTGGATGTGTGGAACAGCTAATTCTGAGGATTTTGCAGTGAAATGGATTGATGAACCTTCACCCTAGAGGAATGGTGAACATTTCTTGTTTGTTTGGTTTTTTTTTAGTGCCCTATTTTGCCAAGGTTCGTTCGTGGCCCAGCTGTGAGGTCAACAACCAGGTCCTGGTGTGGTACCACTGTGATGGAGCCGAGCCTCAGTGGAGTGTCCCTGAGCAGACGGAGGTGACTACCAGGGAGTGGGTCTACAGAGGGAGGACTGAACACTTGATCAATGCTCACATACAGGTGAGGGGAGGGGCTCTGTCCACATGTCTGTCCATCCTTCTGTCTGTCCTGTCCTTCTTGATGTTCTCGTTTGGATCTCACCAATTTTAAACTCCTGGATGAATTACTTTAAGAACATCATTAGAACAGCCTCTTTAAATGAGTTATCCACAACCTTATCATGTCTCTTTGAAAACAACATAAAATGATCAATAACATTTTTTTGGTAAGTTAGTAAAGTTATATATATCTGTAATCTCCAGGTTCCAAAGTTATGTTTTTATTTTCAATTATTCTTATGTTTTGGTGCCAACTGAATTTTTAATGGACTTACTCAGTGTGAAACTTGGGCCTATTTATTTGAACGCAACCAGGAATTCGAGGTTTTATAGCTGTCTGCGGCCACTTAGTGGAAATTTAATTAATTTAATATCTTTAATTGTTCTGTTAGCACAGTGTTGGTCAGTTTCAACACTTTCATGGCATCATAAATGAAATGTACAGAGGGATGAGTTTTGTCGGTCAGTCACACACCCTCTGTTTCTGTCTAATCCTAATGTCTTTTCCTCTGCAGGAAATTCCTGAAAACATCGGAGACTTTGCTCACCTTAACTTCCTGCACACTCCAGGAATCTTCAGTGGTGCAGACCTGCGATACACCGACAACAAAGTCGTCACATTTTTGCAACACAGCTGGAAAGTAAGACGGAGAAGTGAATCCTCATCAAGTCCATCATAAAAGACTGGATGTTTTCATTAAAAACCACGTCTGTTTTCACAGGGTGAATGGAAACCAGAGTCAGAGCCAAACAGTCACTGCTCTCAAATGTTTCTGACTCACTGCCTGACTGTGTTTGGGCTGCGCCTTCCTCTGCTGGACATTTATGTGGAGGTTCGACAGGTAGAGATGGAAGCAAAATCCCACCTTTTCCAACCCACCCCACCTCTACTGTGTTAGTTTGAAAATGTGTTGTTGTTTTTTTTTCCATTAAATGGGTAAAAGGTTACATATTTATGACTACGACTGTCTGTAATGTTTACTGCCACCCACTAGAGGGAGCCTCTGATACACATCAGTGAAGGCGGTGTTCTGAGCTCTTGCTGATTTTTGATTCTGACAGACAGTCTCATATATGATCACGTTCTTGTGTCTGTGTTCCAGGTTGGTCCTGGACTGGTGTCCATGATGTTCCACCACCGTTTCCTGGGCCGAGGTCTGATTCTCCAGAGTGTGACCCCAGTGGAGCCGTTGCTCCAGTGTGTTACCCACACCATCTATTACCAGTCCAACATCCCAGCTGTGGTCCCAAAATTCATCCTCAGAGCAGAGTGTGTTCAGGTGCATGGCATTCTTCAACTTAAAATATTTTTCTTTTTGCCTCAGAAATTATTTATGTTGAAAAATCTGGTTTATTATATTTGTTTGTTTTAAAGCTGCGGCCAGTGCTGACACACAGGAAGTGTATTTCCCTTCCTGGTTTATTATATTTGTTTGTTTTAAACAAATTGCGTTTTAAACACGTGCTGTAGGCGACATCAGGTTCACAGTCTCCTTAATGTCTTCGTCATATTAAACTCGTATGACATTATTAAGAAGCAGTTTTCCCTGGTTAGTTAGTCCAGTTCTACCAGGCGATAAGCTGGAAGAGAATGTACAAAAACAGTTCTATATCTGGAGGAGGAACTAAAAACAGTCCCATTCATCAAGTCCATCTTAACTAATGAGACTGTTTCTTTTTGGAAACACACCTTTAATGTTGCTTGGTAACAGAATCCACTGGAGGTAAAGGCCTTATTCAACCCCTGGGCCCTGAAGGCATCTCTGACAGGTTCCCCTGTTCTCTCTGTTGTTCTGTTTGTGTGAACAGTTTGAACGTGATGTCATGATTTGGAACAACAAGAAGTACATCTCCAAACCTCTGCTCACCAAAGAAGACTCCACCATCCTGAAGCACCGACGCTGGTTCAGTCAGTTCTACAGTGAAAACAGTCCCAGGCTGCAGTACCAGAACAACAACTTGGACTTCTGAGCTCCAGATCACAGGGAAGACATTTTTAAAAAAATACTAAAAGATTTATTTCTTTATGTATTTAAATTTAAGTGAATTGATTTTTAAAAAATATATTTTTATTGTTTATGTTGATTATGAATTAATAAATGCATTGATTTCAATTTAAAATGTAAATTTGGTTTTAAAATGATAATAAAGATCATCGAACTAAATATACATTCAATAATTTACTCATCTACAGAGGGGCGCATAATATATAAGGGTCAATAAGGTTAAAGGTCAGGTGTGTTCGTGATGTTTGAACATTCCTCATAGTAGTTTTCTCAGAACACTACTGCAGAGCTGCTGCCTCAGCTGTTCATGTGCTGCAGCTGCAGCCACTAAATCTGAGAGCAACATGTGCACGAAAGGTCAACAAATGTCAGGGAGAGCAGAAATAAAGGTCAGCAATCTCCCTGAACCAGCAGGTGGCTGTGCTCTGAATGAGATGGTGGAGTTAATATGGCAGCAGAAGAACTCTGTCCAGAATTCAAAAAAATAAAATCACCGATTTTCTCTAAGGACTTTGGTCTGTGTTGTGCTAACCAGGTTAGAAACACAACCCTGTAAATAAGGGTAACTGTATTAACATTTACTGGTTAAGTCAAGTCACTTCCTGTTTCCTGTTGTCAGAGATTTAGTCACTTCCTGTTTCCTGTTGTCAGAGTACATACAGTATATGGAAAATATAGACAATAGATATAAGACAGCTGACAGCCACTCTTTTAATGAATTACAGATTTATTTTAAAACTATATAATGTCAGTGATAATTGTCAACCACTGCTAACAGCTTTGTTTGTAGTTTTTTATGTTAGCTTGTGGCTAACGCGACAGTAGGTCTTGCCTACAACAGCTATAAATCAGCCGAGGTGATTCACTCATGTCTGGGATGGTGGTTGTTCCTGTGGTTAATAGTAATGTTCAACACTATGGTTCAAGTAGTTTCCTTCCTCCTCCTCCTCCTCCTCCCCCCTCTCCTCTGGTCTGTTCTCAGTCTTAAACAAGTCTTTTAGAAGAGGCTAATGTTTATTTAATCACACATAATGAGATTTGCTCATGCGTTTCTGGGCCACGGTGAGGTTTTCACTGCACTAAACATGTTCAACGAAGTAGAGCAGTTCAATGCTCCAGCTTCTTCAGGCTACTGCTGCCCCCACCTCGCCACCGCCCCCAAGAGGATTGTCCTGTAATTCACTGCAATATTAATATTATCATTTTCATCGAAGCTCTGTGATGATAGAATGAACAAACATTACTGCGTCGACTTTGAATGGACACTACAGCCTATGTGTGTGCGTGCATGCGCGCGTGTGTGGAGAATAGTAGTCCTGCCTCAATCTTTCCCAGCATCCTTCAGGACCAGGTGTTCCCTGTGCTCTGCTGTGAACAGCAGATAAATGTAGACTGGTGGTTTTTAGTGCACGTACAGATGGATGCTTGTTCTTCTGATGTGTTTCTCGTGTTGTGTCAAACCTTTGCATCAATTATGAATGTGTGTGTGTGTGTGTGTGTGTGTTCACCGATGATTCTTTCATGCTACTCTCTTGTCCTGATGTCAAACTGAAGCTATAATGCTGCAGAGAAAAATTGATGAAAACAGGGAATTTTACACAGCCTTAGCCTTCAGTTAGCTTTGTGTCCTGTGCGGGGGGGGGGGGGGGGTGGAGCTAAAGGTCTGATCAATACAGATCAATTTTTCATTTCACATGGCGAGTCAGACGATGACTGATTCTTGACCTGTATTTGGACTTAGGTCATTGACAGGGAGCAGAAGAGAAATATGTTCTTTTCTATCGTAGTAAATAGTACCAGAAACCAGGCACAGTACCATGAACTGAGCAGAGTGCTGGGAACTACTGTGACCTCACTGCAGGGACAATCACCTTAACAAGTAGAACAAGTACAAGAACTGTTTTCTGCAGTATTAGCTGGAGGAAGGACGTCACCTCTGAGGTGAAGGGGTCAGGGTCCAGAAAACACGGGCAGGCGGAACAAGAACAGTAGTGCCCCCAAGAGGCCGAAGGTTATCATCTTCCTCCTCTTCCTTCTTTACTTCATTTTTAAACACATTATTATTTCTCCTGACTCCTGGTGGATTACTAACATGAACATAGGTCACAGTGCAAACACATGCACGTGTCAACACCCAGACTCTTATTGTCTCTAGTATTGTTCACCAGTTCGCCTGAGGCAACATCACATGCATTTTTTAGTTTTTTTTCTAAAGTAATGTGAGAGCAGTGTACGTTTTATTTTTATGCCTGCGGGCGTCGCAGTCGGCTCGTTTTCCCTCACATGATGTTTGCAGATGAAGTTTGAATCTTCTCAGCCTGGGTGTTTAATGTTCCCACTGAATAAAACAACTTTCCAGTCTTGATAATAACACAAAGGGAGTGCCACAGATGCAACACTTATCCTACTGTACACACAGGAATCCTATTGTATACAAACTGCTGTTGCTGCTACTAAAAATGGTTCAGACAATAAATATGGTTTATTTTTAGACACTCGGAGAACTGAGGGTGTTTTTAAGTTCAGATTTTACTCAGATGTGCTCCGTATTTGATTTAATGTTGTCCTGTCCAGGGACAGGGACACACCAGCATTTAGACCAACAGGTCTAATGATGCCTCACAGAAGGAGAGGGAGAAGAATATGGAAAAAATGGATGGAGGGAGGATTGAGAAACATTGGTTTGGGAATTGTGTTTATGTGCAGAGCTGACAGCCTGACTCTGTGTTTGTGTGTGTGTGCGTGTGTGTTCAGAGAGACAGATGAAGCCTTCATATCACCTCCTCCAATCAAATCCTTCAGCCTTTAGAGCTGAGAAGAGTCTGTAAGTGAACTGAAGCTGGAGGTGGGGTGATAACCCCCCCCCCCCCTCTCTCTCTGTATCTCTTTCTCTCTCTCTCCTGAATGGGAAGGGGTGATGTGTGAGTATGTGTGTGTCTGGGGGGGGGGGGGGGGAATGACGGTTGGGGATTGGGCTTCTGTTCACTGTGTGTGTGAATGGTTGTGTGATTTAAAGTGACTGTACAATAGATATAGATGCACACATGAACATTCCATCATATTATTAAGTAGATATTAATATCTATACAAACTGATCTTTATCACTTTATCCAAATACAGTGAGATATTACATTCCTAACCATGTTAATGTTTTTCAGGAGATTTTCCCGTGAGGTGAAATCTTCGTTGTCCACTGTCGTCCCTGTGGATCTGAAAGGTCTCAGCGAATCACAGAGTAGAGATGCCTCTCTGTGTACCAGCACATGCACATTGCTCTCTCTCTCTCTGTGTGTGCGTGTGTGTTGTTAGGTGAAAAAGAATACCAACCTTGTTTCCTAGGTAACAGAGTGGAGTGTGTGTAGCTGCAGGAAGCTGTCATGGTTTCAACAACACACACACACACACTTCAACACAAAACACGGTTAAATAGATAGAAGCGGGCACACACACACACACACACACACACACACGTGTATGTGATGTGTGACAGCGTGGACCTCCAGCTGACATAAACCAGGTCAACACTCAGCTTCTCTCTCACTCCATGACGAAGCTAAATGTCAGAATCAGAGGAGGTTTTCACACTGTTTTCTGACTTCAGACCAGGTCCAACACCTATTCTTTCTTTCTCCTCCTACTCTACCTCCTCTTCCTCCTCCTCCATCTGCCTATGTGAAATCCACCAGGCCAATTCTGTCTGCCTTTCAGTGTTGGTCCAGGCCCACTCTCTGTGTACCAGTCTGAAACTAGATGAGGTTTGAGGACATTTAATCAACATCAGTCATCAGTCTGTAAATATGAAAATAAAAAATAAATTATGATTGACAGGTTTTATATGTTGATTTCTTATAACTTATTCTTAAATATCTTCCAAGGAAGAAATTATCTAGATTTTTTTTTGTCAAAATATGAACTGTTGTCAATGTATTTTAAATATATATTTTAATATATTCCTCAGACACTATGATTTAAAATAAATGATTACATTGCTGTTTACTGGTCATTTTAATTATGGTCTTTATTCATTAATTCACCTCTAGTTAGTTTTTACCGTGTATTTTGTTGAGTTTCTTCCCGGATACATTTGTCAAATGTTCGTATACTATTAGTGAACCATTGGCCTCCTGCCGTCCTGCTCTTATCTGTCATATTTAAATCCATTTCATCTTAAGTGAGACCAGTTAGTGTGTGCTGTGAACCTCATGTCACAGACCATGTCAGTGTAAACATGAATGATTCGAGTGGAACCATTGTTTAAACCCTCCTGACGTCATGTCCTTTCATTGCTGTGGTGCTTAGTTTATTATGAAACTAAAAGGGGTGGGGGGCGTTTTCCCTAAAACGGCCATTCCCCCAAATGACCGCGCACGCCCCTGTGAGCATCAGCAGCATCAGCATCATTGAAGAGTGGGGGAGTCTATAAGACGGGAGCGCGCAGCTTTCACGGCAGCGCGCCTACACAGCTGTCAGCACCAAGGACAGCACCACTCTGGGACCAGCAGGGACGGATCAGACCAGATCCGTGTCTGAGGACCAGAAGACTCCTGTAGAGACCGGGAGAGAGCTGGAGAGTCCTGAGGAGAGCTGGGGGGGTCCTTGAAGGTCCTGGAGACCATGCTGCGGCTGCTCTGTCAGAACCACTGCGGTTTTTGAGCACAGGCTCGCTCACAGTGGTTCAAAACCTGTGCGCATTCCTCTGCAGAGCCTTTGATTCCACATTTCCCTCCCGTCCTTTTCCTCTTTTTTTCCGGCGCGCACATCTGTCCCTGTCCGCGCTGCTTCTCCACACCCACAGCTCCAGCTGGTCGAACCGAACCGACACCGCAGAGAAACGCCGTCTCTGCAGCTGTGCCGCCTGGTGTTTCACACCACCATGCGTCTCTTCCTCATGGTGGCGCTCTTCTCCTGCTCGTGTGCGCCGGCGGGCTGCGAACCTAAGATCGTCAACATCGGTGCGGTTCTGAGCCAGAAACGGTACGAACAGGTCTTTAAGGACGCAGTGGCCCAGGCCAATCAGGTCTACGGCAGGGAGAAGTTCAAACTGAACGCCATCTCCGTCACCCACAAACCCAACGCCATCCAGATGGCGCTGTCTGTCTGTGAAGACCTTATCTCCAGCCAGGTAAGTTCTGCCTGTGGTCCAAGTCGGTACATCACGAAAATGTTTGTTTGTCCAAAAGCTTGTCAATAAAATAAGGTGACTTTATTTCCTCAGTTAATTCAAATATGCAACGTCAATTACGTCAGCACAAAGGGGTGGAGCCAAGCTTTTCATTTATTGGTTGACAGCAAATTGGCAAGATTTGAGTGTTTATTTGTCACATGATCAATTATTCACGTATAACTATATGACAAAACATATATAACAGCAATACAGCACGTAAATGGGTGACTAATAACATTTCTTTAGCAAAGTTGTCAGTAATTAACGGTGGCTTCATGTTCTCAAATAGTGGGGGCGGGCCCCTCTGGTGGGGCGCGGTGAGGTGCCAGTCGGGTGTGAATGAACACGTTCACTACGACATTTACAATCAACCACCTTGGTGTTAACTCTGTGTGAGTGTGTAAAAAATCAGTGACATTGGCCCACAAACCAAAGATCAAATCAGTGATTTTAGCTCAGACCAAAGTCCATAGAGAACATCAGTGATTTTAGCTCAGACCAAAGTCCATAGAGAACATCAGTGATTTTAGCTCAGACCAAAGTCCATAGAGAACATCAGTGATTTTAGCTCAGACCAAAGTCCATAGAGAACATCAGTGATTTTAGCTCACAGACCAAAGGCCATAGAGAAAAGCAGTGATTTTAGCTCACAGACCAAAGGCCATAGAGAAAAGCAGTGATTTTAGCTCACAGACCAAAGTCCATAGAGAACATCAGTGATTTTAGCTCAGACCAAAGTCCATAGAGAAAATCAGTGATTTTAGATCACAGTTCACTACATTTGTCCATTCTGTGCATATATGTGCTGCAGCGGTATTAGCCCCGCCCCCAAACACTCTCATTACTTAAGATATGTGATGATGCCTGTCCCAAGTCAGTACTGATCAACATCCACCTTCCATGCACCCATTGTTTGTCTATGAGCATTCAGAGCCTCTGAGGAACAGACTTTAATAACAATAATAATAATAATAATAATAATAATAATAATAATAATAATAATAATAATAATAATAATAATAATAATAATAATAATAATAATAATAATAATAATAATAATAATAATAATAATAATAATAATAATAATAATAATAATAATAATAATAATAATAATAATAATAATAATAATAATAATAATAATAATAATGCTGTCGGCAGTGATTATTTAATGCATTAATGTTAAAATACCTGATTCACTTGCCCAGTCCTTGAGGACCGGTCTGTGTGTCTGGTATCGGTTGATGTATTTAAAGATTTGTGCTGCAGTTCTGCCAAACAAACATATGAGATCATGAGTAATGCATGCAGCACAGCAACTCCGTTTGTTCCTGTGAGAGCGGTTAAAACGCGGTCACAGCATCGTGCGATGCTCGGCTAACGTGTGGCTCGTAGAAACATGGCTCAGTGTTTGTCACAGTGTGTAGAGGCGTGAAGTCCTTCTCTCTACTCCCACACACATCATTAGGCTCCATGAAACAGAAGAAGAGAAGAAGAAAAACACATGTACACACACACACACACTCTCCACTCCAGTGCTGCTCTCATGTTGCTCTGGTTCTGCTCTTAGTGTAATGACTCTAATTGATACAGGCTTGTAGAAAAAGACTACTATGTTCTATATTTGATGTGCCATACACCAAACACTTGTTTCTGAAGTTAAGATCTCAAACTTCTACTTGAACAGAAGGTTACGTCATTCTTAAATGTGGTAAATTAAGATATTGAGGAGCTTCCACTGTTACTTAACCAAATAAATTATCAATGTCATTGATCCAGGCAGAAATCTGACATACGCTCTCAAAAAGAAACACATCTGATAGATAGAAGACATACGGTACAAACAGTACTTTATGTTTACTTTATACTTGAGTTTACTGTTAAAATGCAGTTTTTAACACAAGATAATAAACAGCTTCTTCTGCTACACAGGTCCTTAGAGAAATTAATGATTTTAGCTCAGACCAAAGTCCTTAGAGAAAATCACTGATTTTAGCTCAGACCAAAGTCCATAGAGAAAATCAGTGATTTTAGCTCACAGACCAAAGTCCATAGAGAAAATCACTGATTTTAACATAGGGCACGTTCGTTGTTAATCCACAACTGTTCACGTGTCCTTGAAAACCAAAATAATCTTTTTATATACTTGCTATAGAAAAGTACATGTGTCATTTTTTAGAACTGCACTCCCTTTCTCTTTTCTCTGACACAGACTCAGAGTATAAAATCTTTGCTTCCCATAAATCAGTAGAAAAACAGTGGTTCATTTTCCGTCATCCTCCTCATATTTTGCACCAAATGAGACAGAATCAGAGCAGACTGAGGCAGAGAAGATTCTCTGTCAGTGTTTAATGAGATGAGATGAGTTGTAGGCGATGGAAGAGTCAGTGAGAAAGAAAAGTCTGCAGCAGATGGAGGAAGAAGAAGCCCCTGGAGCAGTCCTCAGAAGATAGACCTCATTTCCTGACCCGACCATACGCCGTGGAGCTCAGATCCAATAATCCAGGGCTGCCAACATCATCCATCCTCCTGCAACCGTTACTCTCTGGCTTTCTCTAGATATATTATCACTTTAATAATGCAGTGGTTGTGTGTGTGCCATCAAATAAAACCACTTTTCGTTATTACTGGCATTGTGTTTTTCTGTCCTGGTACAAGAATTCATCCTTGGAACTTTACAGCTTTCTTCTTATTTGATTAATGGACAAAGTTCACGTCTTACAACACTGACGGTGAGAGAAGCAATTACTCTGGTAGTTTTTGTTTAAAAAAAGTCTCAGGATAAGTTAACATGATTTTTTTTTAAATATAGTTCATGTGATAAAAAAAATGAATGAAAAAATACAAAAGTCAGCCAAAAGATAATTAACATGTATAAAACCCTACAATGTAGCTTGTTATGTATGATACAATACAGGTCAGAACATAAAGTACGTCAAATACGGACCATTAGAGCTAAAGGTTAGCCAGTGTGTTAGCCAATTATGTGACAGTTATTATAAAAGACAGTTAAACACTGGTGGAAAGACTTTTAAAAGAGTGGATGTTTGTCCTGATGTACAGCTTGTTGTTTTTGTTTGCTAAAATGGACGTCCATTGTCTCACTGCTGTTAACACTGTCTTGTCTCTGCTCCTGTCAGGATGATAAACAGTTTTTTTCTTCACTGCCGTTTCTCTGCAGGTCTATGCCATCCTGGTGAGTCACCCTCCACAGTCCAGTGACCACCTCACACCTACACCCGTCTCCTACACCGCAGGATTTTACCGCATCCCTGTGGTTGGACTCACCACTCGCATGTCCATCTACTCAGACAAGGTGAGTGATGGAGCGGAGGAGTGACATGAGGAATGATGTGGAGAGGTGGGGAAGAAGCAGGAAGTGAGGAGGAGCTCCCAGGGGAGAGGCTTTAGAAGAGTCTCAGATTAAACGTGCCATCACTCTCTATTAGCTCAGCTGTGATTAAAAAGGTTTCCAGCTGAACCACGAGAGCACATCATTAATAAAACGTGTCTGATGTGAAAAATGTTTCTGCAGAGCAAGCACCGTGTTGGAGTAAAAATTCAAAGAGCCGCTCTCACAGACCAAAGTCCGTAGAGAAAATCAGTGATTTTAGATCACAGACCAAAGTCCATAGAGAAAATCATTGATTTTAGCTCACAGACCAAAGTCCGTAGAGAAAAACAGTGATTTTAGCACAGACCAAAGTCCATAGAGAAAATCAGTGAGTTTAGCTCAGACCAAAGTCCATAGAGAACATCAGTGATTTTAGCTCACAGACCAAAGTCCATGGAGAAAATCAGTGATTTCAGCTCAGACCAAAGTCCATGGAGAAAATCAGTGATTTTAGCTCACGGACCAAAGTCCATAGAGAAAATCAGTGAGTTTAGCTCAGACCAAAGTCCATAGAGAAAATCAGTGAGTTTAGCTCAGACCAAAGTCCATAGAGAAAATCATTGATTTTAGCTCAGACCAAAGTCCATAGAGAACATCAGTGATTTTAGCTCACAGACCAAAGTTCATAGAGAAAATCAGTGATTTTAGATCACAGACCAAAGTCCATAGAGAAAATCATTGATTTTAGCTCACAGACCAAAGTCCGTAGAGACAATCAGTGATTTTAGCTCAGACCAAAGTCCATTTCTTCTGATGATTCATGTTTAAGTGTAACTCAGGACACAGCTACGTCCACATGTTGTTTGGTTGTTGGTTGTATTATTTTTTGTATCTTTTTTTCTAATTGCAAACCTAATTTGTGAGACACAGTTAACCTTTGCAAAGGCCAGACTCTGCCTCTGGGAAAACATTTGTCCACTCATGTTTCTGCTGATGAGTCATTGTATTCAAAATCTAATTATCATGTAAAATGAACTGTTAACTGTCTTGTCTCTACTGAAATTGTTTTTTTACAGGCACATCTCCTCGTTCTCCCACTCAGTGAACTGAATCACTGCAGCTGTTTTCCCATCACTGTTTTAGTTTGTAAACCAGTAACCTTCCCACTCCAAAGTCTACAGAGAAAACAGTGATTTTACTGTTTAAAATATTTGATTCAGATTGACCACAGGAGGCAGCAGTGGACCAGCAGCTTCTGTGTCATTGTGAGCTAAAATCACAGGAAACAGTTTCTCTATGGAGTTTCTAAAAGGAACGAGATTTGCCTGTTTTCAGTCAAGTGAACTAGTGGTATCTAGTGCCCCAATCTTTGGTGTGTGGGTTCTATTCTAAAGGGCTCTCGGGGTACGAACTGCCAAAACACTCTGAAAACAGCTGTGGTGACCTCTTGGTGATGAGATTAGCCAAAAGTGTTTCTTCTTTTTTTCTTGTCATTAGTTAAATGAATGGTTAACACTGATTATAATTCAGAGCTGGTCTGTGGCACAGTCAACAGAAAAATGCAAAAGATGCTTTCCATCCATGGGGCGCCAAAAATGGAGGAGGAAAAAAAGTGCAACTTTCACACCAAAACTACTTGGGTCATTAAAAATCACATCATCCCTCTGCACCATCTAAAATCTTGATCTTGATCCGTAATCTTGATCATAACACAGGTCATGTCTGCTGTTTTTCCAGAGCATCCATTTGTCCTTCCTGCGGACCGTCCCTCCATACTCTCATCAGGCCCATGTTTGGTTCGACCTGATGCGTGAATTCAACTGGAACCACATAATTCTCATTGTGAGCGATGACCACGAGGGACGGGCGGCTCAAAAGAGGCTGGAGACCCTGCTGGAGGAGCGGGAGACCAAGGTGAGATTGGCTCGGCCCGCTACCCTTATACAGCTGAGTGCTGGCGTTATTAAGACCAAACCCCTCTTCTGTGTACGTAGCTGTTCCTCTCTGTCATGTGACCACATCTCTCCCTCTTTCTCACCATTGTGTAAACATTGGCTAACACACCGAGAGCCATCCACAGCGTCTGATGTGGTCTAATCTGACTCTAGTCTGTACCTTTATTTGCTCATCGTCACATTTGATTTCCGCCATAGTCCAGGTGATCCTGTGTCTTTCAACAGTGGAGCCAAATAGTGGACTTTAACACGGGGCTTCGCAAACTGACACAGAACAAACCGTGTCTTTCTCAAAGTAACACTTCACTACAGTTAACCTGAGTTTTTATTGTATTCTTGATAAAACTTAATAATAACCGTATGAGGAATGCGTACTCAGCTTCATGTACTGGTGTTAGTTGTATTTAAATATTGGTCATGTTTGTGACAAGTATTACTGGATGCTGTGAAAGAAGTTGTACTACACAAGATGACCACAGGGGGCAACAATGGAGCAGCATTGTTCCTCTAACTAACTAAAGTCAATGATTTTCTCTACAGACAGTCGTGAGTTTAAACCTTTGGTTTTCCAGTTGTGCCATAATAATAATTATCTTAGTGGGAATCCTTTGCTTACCAAACATGGTGTGAGATCATGGTCTAACTGTGTGGAAGTGTCAATTGTCCCATATTTAAACATCCTTCAGACTGGAGTAATGAGCTGCTGCTGTCAGTGGAGATGGTGCCGTTCCTCCTGTTTGAGAACTGCTCAGTTGCTGTACTGAGGGGGATTTTAAGTTTGTATCTCTCCTTGTTCAGAGACTCTTTTGTGTCAATAAGATGCTGTACATCCTGTACTGCAGCAGTTATTTTTGTCCTTTTCTAAAAAAAATAAAAGCAGCTGTTGGAGTTTTTCTCCATGTGGGTCAGGAAAGAAAGTGTTTTTTTCCTGCACTCACCATACAAAACTGAGCATTTTGGATAAAAATAAGTTCTGTCTAATGAGACACCCACACCCTCATTATTATTTCTCATGTGCATTCATGGAATTTACTGTGACCACTTTGTGGCATGAAAACTGCCCTTTGAAAATAATGACAACAAAAGTGTCAGTGAAAGTCGTCAGGTCCTCAGATTTGTCAGACTTTTTTAGATATTAAGAAAATGTAGGATGAATATTATTCTTGAAAATGTAAATTAAACAAGTGGATTATTATGTTATATGGTATTTTTATATGATTTGAGAATGGAAAAGAAAAAGAGAAGATAAAAAATATTTTATTAATTTATGAGGATGAAATGAGCCAAGGGTCTCATTTTTCTCTCCTCCTTCCTCTTCTCTTCCTCTCATTCTGGATTTTTCTCTCCAGGGCCCCTTTGCTGTAAATGTAGGACTGAAGAAAATTAGTCATTCATTCAGAAATCTAATTAAAAAAGAGGAACTGACACACACACATACACACACACACAAAGACTTGCTGCTTTAATTAAAATATATAAATGGATCAGCACTGCTTTATAAACACAGATGGACCGAATAAAGAGAAACATTGAAATTAATCCACTAACATCTTAACAGTTTGTGCTGAACATCAAATCAGCAGTGACTCGCTTTACTGCACCAGGGGAACTGTCATATAATTCAGACACACTTTTTTTAAAAATAAGGTTTCACATTCACTGAAGCTTGGATCTGTGTTTCACATGATCAAATTTATATTCAGAAATTGTGTCTGTCAGCAGCAGCAGCAGCAGTGAAAGTCTGGACATGAGCACAAAAAACATGAGCCACACAACATGAAATATTCATGCAGACCGAAGAGGTAAAAATAGATCAACCCCGTCAAAAAACGTTAAAGGGTAAAAGGAAAACGACACAACGCCATGTTTTTAGGTGTTTTCTAAGAAAACGACTTCATTTTGAGTGTAATATGTATGTGAACATTTTATATTATTAAATGTGTTCTAGAAATAATTCAGAAGCAACTAATACTTAAAAAAGCACATTAAAATAGGAAAAGGCCCGTGTTATAGTGCGATTTAAATGTATTTACTAGAGTGTATAATTGTATATTCGCCTTTATTCTCTGTACGAAGATAATTATCATTAGCAGAGCTGGAGCTGTATTCTTTTGATACGCCTCATCCCACGTGTCTCTTCGTAGCCAATTAACTCACGACTAAGAACAAGCCGTGTGTTTTATCGATAGAACTACGTTTGTAACGTTCTAAAAAATACGAAGCCTTTATTTCTACAGCAACTTTTTTATATATATATATAAATATTTGATATCTTGCAAGAAATTTGTCTCTTTGTAAATGCTACCTAAACTCCCCTCCCACCTAAACAGGTAAGACCGCCAGCCCAACTGATGTACGGGACCGTTGAATATACTTGATGTGAATGAAAAATAAAGACCAAGAAAATGGTTGACTGAATAAATAGCGACAAGAGGGTCTCCCTTTTTTGGCTGTTGCTTGTTTCTTGGATATCTGGCAACGCCCATGTTTGATGTAAATATTAGTAGCCTACGGAAAATGTGAAATATGTTGCTGTATGACATCGTTTATTTTAGGTCTTTTTAATTTACGCTAGCCAACTAGCTTAGCAACCTCAGCTAAGTTTTCCATTAAAATGAAGCACACGTTTTGATGAGGTAAAAGTGGTGGTATTTTTTCAAGCTAAAATAAGACTTTATAAATCCGACACCTGGGGAATTCCATTTAAAGAGATTACTCGACTTTTATAGTGAATAAATTGTGCCTCTCTAATTTGCTACCTTTCATGCCTGTGTGTTTTATTTTCAATCAGGCTAACCTTTATTTTGCATCGATATCGAACATTGTTTTGGCAATAAAAGACGATTATGTAGGAAATATACATAAGCATCAAGATGAACTTAAAGAAAAGTAACAATAACACTAAGTCTATATGTTCAAATGTAAAATTATAAAGGTACTATTAATCCAGAAGTGTATAATTTTATCTTGCTTGACTTAAGGAGATATACTTCTCTGGTCCTGAACATTAGTTCTCAATTTCTCATCTTCTCTGATGTTCTTTGCGAAGCCTCCTGCTGTTAAAGATTCCCTGATTTGAAGCAGAAAAGTGGAGATTTGTTGGTAAAAAAAAAAATGCTTTACTGCCCTCCATTTTCAACTGTTTATAATATTTTCCTGTGTCTGCATATTTTCTCTGTTGTGTGCACATTATTCATCAGAATAAAAAAAGGAACTATGAAAACCTCGACCAACTGTCCTATGACAACAAGCGAGGACCTAAGGTATATTTGCATGGTCAAATGCACGCCGCCCACCAACTTTTTCTAAACGTAGCAACTTAGAAAACAATCCAGCCCGAACCGCAGTCACCAGCCGAACCCAGAACTCCCACCTCTCTCTCTTTCTTGGTAGCACGACTTTTCTTTAATTTCATGTTTTTTCCAGAATGGTTTGTAAATTTCGGTTATTTCAGATTTGTAAAAAAAAAAAAAAGGCCAGTAAAACAATAGAGTGCCCCTGCTTTTTCATATCCATTTTGTCCTTGAAAAAAGGAATGCATGTATGTCAGACCAGACGATTTATTTAAAAAGTTTGCTAGTTCATTCCTTTGTGGAGAACCGGGAATTGTGGGACGAAAGCCGTTTCCCAGATGCTACTTCCTCTTCCTGTTCTGTAGCAGCACTTCCCTGATTTTCAGCTTTTTTCTTTGGTTATTGTTGGGGGAGAAAATGTCATCTCCCCTTCCTCCTCCTTCCCTTCCAATTCCTGTTTTTAGTTCCTGGTTGCATCGACCTTCTTCTTCCCCCTCCACCTAACACATGCACGTCCTTCTTTTGGAGCCTTGAAATCCCTCAGTTTGCATGCCAGAAAAATGCAAAAGTTTTCCTTTTTCTTCTTCCCTTAAAGCTTTTTATTTTTTTTTAGTTGAGCCGGTTCCCCTTCTCTCTCCTGGATCGCTCTTCCTTCTTAATATCTCTGTCTCCCATTTTTCAAAACAAACTTGATCTGAGCTGGAAGTAAGCAGGTAAAGCAGCGGCAACAGCATGGCGTCGGAGTTTGTAGCGGAAAAAGGAAAAAAGAAAGGTTAGCCGCCTGACCTTTGTTCTGCCTCGATCACAGGCAGAGAAAGTCCTCCAGTTCAGCCAGGAGACTAACTTAACTGCTCTGCTGCTGGAGGCCAAAGAGCTGGAGGCCAGGGTCATCATCCTGTCTGCCAGGTGAGTACCGCCACAGTCACCTTTAACCACAAACAGTACCACCCGTTTTTAACACTGTGATGGTCCAGGTTATGAGGCACTTGAAAAATCCAACTACAAAATCATAAAGGCATCTTTGTCCCAGAGCCAGGGCAGTGGTGCCTTGGCTGTCCTAGGAAACAATTCTGCAGCTGTCTAGAGCCAAATCCATCAGTTTTGTGTTGTTTTAAGTGGGCTTAGCCTCCCATGTTAAACCTTGTTTTGCCTTTGTACTTGGTGAAATGTTTAAGAGGTAAAGATGTCACTGGTTTAAATCAGCAAAACCAGCAACATTTTAGTCAGAAGTCCAGAACACTACCCCAAAAGGCAAGAATTACAAACTTAAGACAGTAAGTAAATCTGTAGTTGTGCGTAGTCTGTGTATTTTTGCCTCCCACCAGGTAAATGGAGTTTTTCTACTTCAAAGACAAACACGTATAATATATTCTTTAGTCTACATTACAATAGAAATATAAGTTGTGTGAACCGGTTTCTTGTTACATGTCCCATCCTTTAGTGAGGAAGACGCTGCTGCTGTCTACAAAGCTGCTCGCTTCCTCAACATGACTGGCTCAGGCTATGTGTGGCTGGTGGGCGAACGGGAGATGTCGGGTAAAGCCCTGAGTGAGGCACCAGACGGTATGTTCAGCTAGCACAGGGCAGCAGGGATTACACCTTGTAGGGTTTTGTAAAACCTTTTGTCATAGTTTTGCATTATTTGCTTTTTGCAGTTAGAAAAATATGGATTTTATTTTTTTGTTTTTTATTTAGTAAATTATAGCTTACTTTTAATAATGTAACTTATTACTTATAAAATAACTTTTGGATAATCTGCCTGTTTAAGGGTAGAATTTATCCTATTTCAAAGCCATTTTGTGAAATCATTTTGAAAATTATTATCCAAGTATTTATTGTTTAGTTTCTTTTTTCTTTTTTACTTTTGGCAACATGTTCTATTTCACATCACAACTGTTATTTCCTCAATTTCTTACTTTTTTAAACTGCTAAATGGCCCTCTAGTGGCCACACTGCTACTCTTTTTTTTTTGTGACCCCAAGGTCAATAAAATTGAACCATGATTGTTTTGATTAATCTGGTCTCAGGTCTGATTGGCCTCCAGCTCATCAACGGGAAGAATGAGTCGGCTCACATCAACGATGCTGTGGCCGTGGTGGCTCAGTCCATCCAGGAGCTGTTTGAGAAGGAGAACATCACAGAACCTCCCAGAGGATGCGTAGGAAACACCAACATCTGGAAAACTGGGCCACTTTTCAAACGGTACGAATAATAGGTGTTGTTCCACCACCCCGTCCTGCCTCATTCAGGACACAGATACTCACTTTCTAAAACATGTCTTTTAGTCTGGTTGGTCACTTCAAGATTCTTCAGTAAATGTTCTCTGTTCATTTTCTGCCTGATTGACTTTTTTTATTTCCCACTGAGCATTAAAACACACCACTGGATCCACTGATGTGTCACACTCTCCCCTCAACCCCCACCAAGAAAACACATATAATACTCTTGTAAATGTGAACATGCCAGAGCACATGGGTAAGTGTCATCCATGCGTGTTTCTGTCTTCTGTGTCACAGAGTACTGATGTCCTCCAAATACCCAGAAGGCCTTACTGGGAGGGTGGAGTTTAACGATGATGGTGACAGGAAGTACGCTCACTACAGCATCTTCAACTACCAGAAGAGTCGCCTGGTTCAAGTCGGCGTTTACAACGGAACACAGGTCAGGATGCAGTAAAGCAGTAAAGTAATCTACAACCTTTTCTTTGACTCAGCAGACCCTTAGTTGTGTTGGCTAAGCTGATGTTAATAGTTATTTAACAAAAAATATCCACAATGTCAGACCCTGTGCGATTCATCTTCCTGGTGATGATACAGTGGGTGTGATAGTAATTAGCCTGAGGTGTGAAGAAACATAGGGGAGAGGTCAATGTCATAAATAAAATATGCTGTGCCCTGCTTTTTTAAAAGTCATTAGTGTTGTACCCTGCAGTGCAGGAGCAGCAGCAACAGCAGTAGCAGCAGCAGCAGTGGTAGTAGTAGCAGCAGTTCTAACAGTGTGGTAGTAGCGTGGCCACACTGCTACTCTGAGCAGCAGCAACAGCAGTAGCAGCAGCAGCAGTGGTAGTAGTAAGTTCTAACAGTGATAGAGTAGTAGCAGCAGCAGTAGTAGCAGCAGCAGCAACAGAAGCAGTAGCTTCATCAGCCACCTCTTTGTCCATCTGCTTTGTCCCTCAGGTGGTGATGAACAACCAGAGGAAGATCATCTGGCCTGGAGGAGAGACAGAGAAACCACAGGGTTTTCAGATGTCCACCAGATTAAAGGTACTTACGTTTACTGTAGCTATTGCCTTACAGCAAGAAGGTCAGTGGTTTTAGGCTGGCTCTAACTGCTGGTCTCTCTGTAGAGTTCTGTGAGAGTGATTTGTTTGTCTTGAGCCTATGATGTACTGGAGAACTGGATTAGTGGATAGGTTGATACACCCTGATTTACATACAAATATGTTCCCTTTATACAAAGCTTTAAAGTCCATTATGATTGGTTTATCAAACCCACCGTCTGTTTCTTATCTTCATCAGATTGTGACCATCCACCAGGAGCCCTTTGTGTATGTGAAGCCCACCATGCCTGATGGAACCTGCAAAGAAGAAATCACCTTAAATGGGGTCTTAATTAAAAAGGTTATCTGCACTGGGCCAAATGAGACCATCCCAGGTGAGACATCACAGTTATCTCTGTTATCAATTATTATTTGTGTTAACCGATGGACTTGTTCCTTAAACACACTCATACGTCTGCTAATATCTTGTGTTCCGAGGTCGTCCTACTGTACCTCAGTGTTGTTATGGATTTTGTATTGATCTACTGATCAAACTGGCCATGACCATGAACTTCACCTACGAGGTTCACCTGGTCGCTGATGGGAAATTTGGAACTCAGGAGCGGGTCAGTCATGAATATGTTGTTTTAACTGAACAAAAAAGAAATGTTTTACACATATATATATATTTCCAGTGGACTCACCACCCGCAGGAAGGTTTGGTACGGTGCAATGTGATTTGGGTGGCGACTGCTGCCCCCGCGACCCGGTAACGGATAAGCGTATGAAAATGGATGGATGGATGGATGGACATATATATATATATGTGTGTATATATATATATATATATATATATATATATATATATATAAATAAATGAGATGTAAACAGATGAGTAGAACATTGGTGTATTCTAGTATAGGCCATCGTCTCAGTCTCTTCCATCTCCTGAAGTTTAGTCTCCTCTGTTCAGGTCACTGATCCACATGACAGCACTGCACCAAAACACAGTTAAAAATAGATAATAATAAAAATAGGATGAAGGGGAGAGGTATATTTCTCACCTGGACTTTTCTGGACAAAAATGTGGAGCATGAAAATCCTCATGAGACTCAACCCAGATCTTTAAAATCTGCACACTTATTGAAGACATGAATTGTGTTCTAATACTGTTGGTGTTTATGGGGACCTTAGGTGAACAACAGTAACAAGAAAGAGTGGAACGGCATGATGGGAGAACTGCTGGGAGGCCTGGCTGACATGATCGTGGCTCCACTGACGATTAACAATGAACGAGCTCAATACATCGAGTTCTCCAAACCTTTCAAATACCAAGGCCTGACCATCCTGGTGAAAAAAGTACGTGGTGTTGTGCCTAATTAAAATTAAAACAGTACAGTGAGAAATGAAAGCTAATATTTTCATTTTACTAGTGTGGACTCTAGGATAAAGTACTATACATAGACTATGTTGTTGGCAATTATTATGACAAAAAATAAATCTATAAATTTTGCTTTGTATAATTCCAAATTAAGACTTTAAAGCTGAGCTTCAGCAACAGAAAAAAAGGCAACGACTCAACAATAACTTCCACAATTTCACAATAAAAATCCACACTGATACCCAACAGACCACCACTGTCTCATGTTGGAAAACAAATATAAAATTGGTTTCCCAACCCATTGTGCATGGACCGGTACCAGGCTGTGGGTCAGTTGGTGTTGGGAATTATCATTACATTACATGAAGCTTTTATCCAAAGCAACCTACAATTTGAGGAACATATTCTTTAATACAGAAGTACTGCTTTAAATATGTATCTTAACGCAAATATACAAATGTACCAACTTACAGTGTTATTGACCGGCCTTATATTAGGTTAGTAATCACTATTTCATTTTCTTTCTTCATTTTAAGTTAATCCACCAATTTTTCAAAACAATATAAGTCCGATACTATCAGAATAAGGTCTAAACGATATTTTTATTTTGAAAATGCACCATCCTTAAACAGTTTTGTAATGATCAACACGAGACTACAGGTCTGTGGAACTGGCCAGTACTGGCTGACCGGTTCTTGGAACAACAAAGATTGGGGATCTCTGACCTAGAAGACAAAATGTCCAAAAAACTCTTAATAGGACAATTTTGCTATGTTCTGATATGCAAAAGGTATAGTCCAAGGGTCTTCAGGTCACTCAGTGACCCTCACCACTGTGTTTACAGGAAATTCCTCGGAGCACTCTGGACTCATTCATGCAGCCGTTCCAAAGCACCCTGTGGCTGCTCGTGGGACTATCAGTGCATGTGGTAGCAGTGATGCTTTATCTACTAGACCGGTTCAGGTACAACAGTACAACTGTGTGTGTGTGTGTGTGTGTGTGTTATATCTCTCCCTTTATGTGTATGTTTCTTCATGAATAAATCAGCAGCACTGACTGCAAATCTTCCCAGAAAGTAAAACAAAGGAGAAGATTGTCCTCTCACTGTCCGCTCACCGCTCTTATACCACATTTGTGTCCCTCTCTTTTTGGTTGCTCCCCTTCAGTGTCCTCCAGATTTCTTTTTTACTTTTGACCTCCTCTAACCTGGATCTACTTTGTCCATGATAGCCCGTTTGGACGGTTTAAAGTAAACAGTGAAGAAGAAGAAGAAGACGCTCTCACTTTATCATCTGCCATGTGGTTCTCCTGGGGGGTGTTGCTGAACTCTGGAATAGGAGAAGGTTCAATGATTCCCACAACAACACAGCAACAATATGGACTGCAACCCTCAGAAGGAGACAGAAGGTTTAACACTGAGTTCTCTTCACTCAGGTGCACCACGCAGCTTTTCAGCCAGAATCCTGGGCATGGTGTGGGCTGGTTTTGCTATGATCATTGTGGCCTCTTACACTGCCAATCTGGCTGCCTTCCTGGTGTTGGACCGACCCGAGGAGAGAATCACCGGAATCAATGACCCCAGGGTGAGTCTAGTGACACAACAGTGCAGACAGGACAACATAGCTGTCCGTGTGCTAACACCAGGGCTGATACACTACACATTGAGTTAAGAAAAACAACAGAGAACAACAAATAATACAAAGTACATTTGACTAATTTTTTATGCGAGCATTTCAGACCCCTGATGAATGTTTCAGGTATTTTCTGTAGGTGTGAACTGAGTTCCCTCTCCCATGGGTCTTTGAGATGAGAAAATAATATAACAATAATATAAAATCATAATTGAATAATAATTTTTCTTACCTTTTAACTGTTTTCTCCATATTTTATATTTTCTAACATTTAACATTCCACACAGGTTGGAACTGTTAGTGGATGTCACGCAAGTGTCTTGTGGTGTTTTTTCTTCATGTCTTCTGCAGCTGAGAAACCCTTCAGACAAGTTTATCTACGCCACTGTCAAGCAGAGCTCTGTGGACATCTACTTCAGACGGCAGGTGGAGCTCAGCACCATGTATCGCCACATGGAGAAGCACAACTACGAGAGCGCCGCTGAAGCCATTCAAGCTGTACGGGACAAGTGAGTCCCGGTCTGGCCGGGCGACCAGGACATCACTGGTCGACCTGAGAGAAGAAGCTGTTCAGTTATGTCAGGTTTGGAGGGAGGGTCAGGAATGGGTTTTATGGACCTTTGGACCAGGTGGGAACTGTCACCATCTGGACAGTTGTATTCCCTCTGGTCCAGGCCTATATTCCCAGTTTAGATCAGATATTCCAGGGGTTGAGAGAAGTGTGCGACGTGCAAGAAGAAGTTAATGCTGAGTGGAGAAGTGCAACTTTTTTTAGGTGGGTCACAGATGAAGATCTTTGAGATGATCCAGTGTGGGGACAACGTCCTCACCTATCAGGCCTTGGATTTCATTGGCTGGTAGATGGTGAGACAGAAAGCTTGAGAGAATGCCTGAGTGAGACAGAGAGAGAGAGAGAGAGAGGCAGAGCCTTAAATGTGTTTGTAAATCATTGTACTGTTGCACCGTAACCCCCCTCCTTCCCCTTCCTTCCCACTCCTCCTGCGTCCCTCCCCACGTCCGACTCCTTCCTCCGTCCTTTCCCCAACCAACCAACCCTTCCCCTCCCCCACAGCAAGCTGCATGCTTTCATCTGGGACTCTGCGGTGCTGGAGTTTGAAGCCTCGCAGAAGTGCGACCTGGTGACCACGGGAGAGCTGTTTTTCCGTTCGGGCTTTGGCATTGGCATGCGCAAGGACAGCCCCTGGAAACAGAATGTGTCCCTGGCCATTCTCAGGTCTGTCCCAGCCGAAGCTGCACCACTCGTATGAGACTTTCTCTATTTATTATCAACTATAAGTTCGTGGTCACGTGTTGGACCTTCTTATAGCCGACAGAGGCATCGTCTTTGATTTCACATCTCTGAGCCTGGTTCAGTCCTGGTGTCCACATCTGTCCCTGATTTATTTGAACCCATTTGGACTGCACCAGGTTATGGTAGGAATTCCTTCTCAGAAAGTCTAATCATGAAATCCTTGTACGGCGAGGGGGCAGTTTGAGAACATCTAGGTTTCTCTTCATCTATGCCTCTCATCCCTGGTGTTTCTGGTATCCCCTTGTGTAAGAAGAACTTGGGGGACACCCAGACCCACCCACATTGAAGGGATGACATCTCTTGGCTGCTCAGGGACTGTTTGGTTAGATCTCTGAAAAGACTCTCACTGAGATCTTCTGCTCCACTAAACCACTCCACTAAAAAGTGCTGTCCACCTGGGCTCCAGTCATTCAGAAACAACATTGCGACCAGGTCTGAACAGGGCTGTCTTGTCTGTATCTTCACTGTGCTGCCTCCTGTTCATCCGTCTGTCTGTCTGTCTCTGTCATGTCACCCTGTCCAACTATTGTCTGTCTGCCAGTCTGTGTTTTTCACCTGTTTTGCTGCTGCTGGTCTGGGAGTGAGTGAGTGGCTTAGATGCTCCATCACTGTGGTGACGTGTATTAACTTTGTCACCTCTCTTCCCACCAACCCCAACAAACCCCTTGCAGTTCTCATGAGAACGGCTTCATGGAAGACCTAGATAAAACCTGGGTGAGATACCAGGAGTGTGACTCGAGGAGCAATGCCCCAGCCACACTCACCTTTGAAAACATGGCAGGTATGGTCCTTATGAGGTTAGAGAAAGCGTTTAAAAAACAAAAGTGATTGGACAAAAACTGCAGTGGTCAGGTACTGTAGCCCTTTTTTGTCCAATACCTTTACAAGGATCCTTGTTTAAGTGTTCGCGTTAGTGCTGTGTGGAACTGTGCTGTTCAGTTTCTTGTGATGTGGCTTCTTGCAGTTTTGCTCTTTCTTTTATTAGTGTAGTCGCCTGCGTCAGTAGGAGCTGGTTTAAAGAATAAGGTGGTGGCAACCATTGGGCATGATGGGAGAACCCTGCAATCATGGCCAGTGGGAGCAGTGAACTGATGAACCACAATCTAACGGCTCCCTGTTCCCTCTCTTCCAAGGTGTCTTCATGCTGGTGGCTGGAGGCATAGCCGCAGGGATCTTCCTTATCTTCATCGAAATCGCTTATAAACGCCATAAAGACGCCCGCAGGAAGCAGATGCAGCTGGCCTTTGCGGCCGTCAACGTTTGGAGGAAGAACCTTCAGGTAGGAAAAATTCCCAACAGTGCTCATTACAGTCAAAAAAGTTTTGTGCCAGAGAGGCAACAAAGGGTCAGGCTTGTGTCCCATAGAAACTCTGGGGACACGTTATAGTTTTCTTTTCTTTTAACAAGTGGTTTCCAGGCAACAAGATGACCAAATTAGAAAAGAGTGTCGGCTGATTTGAGCGGCCGCCCTTCACGTCCAAACAATGTGGAGAGACTTCAGAACCCATGTGTCTTGTTTGTGCCTGCAGGACAATAAGGAAACCTCTGGAAGTCAAGCTGCAGCTGGGACCCCTTCGTTAGTATGTAAAGAATTAGCAGGAGTTCTGTGGCTCCTGCTAATTGCCGTTAGAATAAGGAACAACGATGAAACAATAACCTGTATGGTGATGTGATGTTAAGGACATCTGAGCAGAGTCACCTTCCATGTCCATGGCATGATGCAGTAGATCTAAGCTGCAGCTGCTGTGCTTTTTGTGTTGTATTTAACGCTTCATGAGGTCAGATGGTCTGGATTAATAATCTGGAATAATTGCAGTAATTACACTAGGGAGCAGTTGGATTGGATTATTGCTCATTCCGTTTGTAGTATCAACAGAAGCCCAGGGCCTAACTGTACAAATAGAGCATAAAGGCTGAAATCAATGTGGATCACAATCGTACAGCATTGACACCCTCTGGAGTCGTCAGGCGGCAGTGAACACTGTGGTTCCTCAGATTTTACAACACAGAGTACAAGGAACCAGGAGTATCACACAGGTCAATTGAAACACAGTTAAACTTTCAGAAGCTAATTTTTTACCTTAGCCCTATGCTGTCCAAATACGCAGTCTGTCTGTAGTTACTGGTGTGTCAAAGGTCTGAACATGGTGATTCAGATGATTCCTAGTGTCACAAAAGCTGAGTGAGACTGATTTATAAGGGACTCAGTTCAATTCATAGGTGTGATAAATTTGGTGCATGAGTCATCGAGTTTTATTCTTTAGTGAGCATATGCAGATTATGCAATTTATGCCATTCTGGCAGGTTAACCACCAGGACACTGGACAGCAAGTTTGGTCCAAGTGTATATGGTAGGTAGGAGGTGTAGTGTGGGTGTTGCTGTAATGGCATGGAAAACAGTGTTTCCTGATTTTGTCAGTTTAAAAAACATCTACTTAGTTTTTGAAGTTATCACCTAAGGAGTAAACTGTTTTACATAATATGCCCCCTTTAAGGTTGCAGTTACAAGAGGTCGTTGTTTAACGTCACTGAGCCGAGCAAGGCAAACAGACCTTTAACTCCAGCTGTTCCCTGGCTGTCCCAGGTCAGCTGATGACAGAGTGACTTTTAAAATTCTGGCATCACACAAGTACATCAGGTTTACAGTGTGTTATTTCTGGACAACTTACAGTATTATGGTATGAGTATTGCTCTCATCTGCAGGTGAATGAAACAGGTTGTTGAATATTTTCTTCAAAGCAGTTGTGAAGATGAAGTTCTCGGAGGGTCACATTTTTCACATCTTCTAACGCGGTCATTTCCTGTACTCTTCATTGGTTTTAATACGTGATAGAACAGTTTGCCATCACATACTCACATACGTGTGTGATGCCAAGCATCAGTGTAAATATCAGTGTTTGGCCCTGTCTGAAGGTCCACAGGGAAGGTACAGTATGACAAGCTCGTGTCCATCTGAGCGTGTCTCAAATCAACCCTGCCTACTGTCTGTAACTGTCCTGAATGTCTCGTTCATACATACGTGTGAATGCGTGTTTTCTAGCGATGCAGGAGAAGCATGCATGCAGGCATTACTGAGAGAGGAGAGAGACACACTGAACTGCTCACAGCTTTGTTAGTGTCAGCAGTGATTTCTCTGCACCACTGAGCTGGAGCAGATCAGGCATGATCGTTCTGCTCATCCACCATCAACCGTGACATCATGCTGGTCTCATGCAAAGAAACCCATGAAGTCGAACTAAACCAATCTGTTCCTTTCTGAGTGAATATGATTCTTGGATGTCATGAACCCACTTTCGGTTTTGTGGAGAAAAAGATGAAGAAAAATAGAAATCTACCGTCAAGAGTAATGTGTGGCCTCCTCCTTCCTCAGTTTGGTTCCTGAATCTAGAGAGGCATTATGTTGAAAAGCTTGCACTTGTATTTGAATGTAACTGTTGTGCTCTTATATACAGTCCAGCCTCAGGGCCGTGTGTTATCAGACACCATGCACAAAAACCTGAAACCTTAATGTGTAAGCTCAGATAGTGCAGACTTCTGAATAACTACAGACCGACTACAGACATTGTCTTAACAATGTTTAAAAAGATTTGTTGTTGTTGAAATGTTGCTGAAAACTTAATTCAAAAGTCCATATAGAAAATCAACAGTTTTATATCAGAGCTTAGAGACACTTAGAAAAATTGCACTCAACTCACAATACAATATGATTTGTGAAATGTTTCTGTTTTTATCACAATTTATTTTTAAACAAAGTGAGCTCCAGACAAATTATGACTAAACACAATGATGCTTTATTTGTAAGAACAATGCAAAATACCATTACCAACTGAAATGGTCTTGTCAAGTCAAACTGAATTGTTATCTTAAATATCAGAAGCCAAACTTCTTTACAGAAACACTGTACACTACAATTTAATCATTCAACATATTAAACAACAAAAGACTATAAATAGTAACTGGAAAGGGTTTCTTTTCTTTACAGAAGCACTGTAAAACACTGTTGTTGTCTGTGGAAGAAGTTTGAACACCTGAATGTCATGGCTGAATGTCATGGCTATGCAACGATGACTTCTGGTTTAATAGTGGGTCATAAGCAAAAGTTTTAGGTGCATAGTGCCACCTACTGTACTAGAGTGTGTAGCCTACTCCTTATGGCTGATGAGCGATTCATTTTTTATGTCAGCCGAGGCAAATAGTCACGGATTATATTGATTTTTTTTTTCTTTTATCGATTCACGTTGCATCGTTAGATCCCTACTGTTGACCCACTTTTGCATTCAAAAGTAACTATAGATGGGACTTGGACGTTTAGATATACATCAATGACACAAACTGACCACAGGAGGCAGCAGTGAACCTGCAGCCCCTGTGACCTGAAATTGTTGATTTTTTCTATGGACTTGGTAGAAGAGCATTAGAGAGGAAGGTCCATGGAAATTGGTAAATAACTTTGAGACATTCTTGTCACTAATTCCCAATCAATATGCCACGCACAAAGACCTAAAGTATTGCTCGGTTTCCGCGTTTCTGCCTTTATTGTCCTCTTTTTTTTATTCTTTTTTATTCTCAGAAGTGCACTGTCTGAACTGTCTGAGTTCATCAGGTGTCAGTTGGAAAGAAAATCTAGTTGTCAAGAAAGGCTTTCCACCTTTGGTGTTTTTAACATTGCTGTACTAACAATGATGCTCTCTGGCGGTGATGGTGGCGTCTTGCATGTTTCCTTGAGGGAAACAGGCAGAATCTCAAGGCTGTGCCACGCCTCTGTCTGATGTTTCAGCATGCTTTGCATGGCCAGACTGTGCAAACGCAGAGCAGAACCTCATCAGTCCTGAAGTTGGTCAGGAGAAAAAGAGACTAGAAGAATGTCCAATCCCATTTTTAGGTATGGTCCGTGTTTGTTAGCCAGCAACCTAAAAATCTGCTGTTCTACAGAAGCCTGTCTGGACATTCTTCGCTCAGGTTCTGTAGATAAGCACTAATACAAAACTGGTGAAAAAATATTATTGGTATAGGTACTAAAACTAGATCCAAGACATTTTGTAGGTACTTGTTGTGACGGTGTCAGATTTTCTAACGTGAAATGTTATTTTTCAACAGGAACAAAAACACTTGACCACAGGTTCTCATCTATGCTGACCATGTCATGTGTTCAATGGGCAGGGTTTACAAAATGGACAGAATGGGTTGGGATTGGTCAGGTGATGGTGGGCGGTACACCCCTCAGTCATGTGACCTGATGAAACAGGAGGTGATGCAGATCCAGTGCTGGCCACGGTTGATTCCTTCTGCTCTTTGTTTGGTGTTATCTTCCCTTCTTTCTCTCTGTGTCCCTACTTTGTATCCTTCTTTATTCCCTTTCTCCATCCATGAAGCATTTTTATTGCATGTAGAAATTCACACCACACTGCCCCGCCCACTGGGCCTCCCCTTGCTCCATGAGTGCCAGGCTAACAATGATTTTTTTTTTCCAAGTACCACAGGCTTTGTTCATTTGAGGAGCTTTTGTCAGCTGACATATTTAATTCATTATGATTAAATATTTACATTTAATTTTATGTAAAGTTATTGCCTGAGTTGCTTATTTATTTATTTTGCAAATCATGTGTTTCTTTTTAAAGTAAATATTGATTTCACTTTATTTAGCTTTATTTTTAAAGCAACGTTTTTGATCCACCGAAGGTTGCTTAAATATCTTAAGCATATTTTGATGTCATATCTGGTGGATCCTGTGCCTTATTATAAACATCTGTTTCCTCTACATTCGGTGATCTCACACATGCAGTGAGTATCGTTTTTTCAGCTTCAGAGAAGCTGTCGCCTCCTGTTTTGTTGTACTCACTCCATCCCATCTCCCTGTGTGTGGGGTGAATTTCCATTATACCTCTCCCAGGTATAATGAGGTTAAATGGGCTTTGATTGGTGACATTTGTCGCTCTTGTTGCATCACAGTGGCCTCTGATTGCAACTCCTTAAAAGCTGCCTGGCTTTGGATGTGGATGTATGCTTTGCTGGGTTTTTTTTTCCTTTTTTAACACCCATCCTTTTTTCATTTTAGTTCTTTGGCATCTTTTAAAGTAATAAGGATCATGTGGATGGACATTTATTTCCTTTTTCTTTTCTCCCCCTCTATGCAGCCCTCTTCCTCTGTAGAGACTCAGGATGTAAGAATACCTTAATATGAGTTGTTCTTTTTATATTTCAAGTGCGCACAGACATGCAGTGACTGCTGAGAGTAGCTGTGGGGCATTCTGAAGGTATGAGGGAGGGAGGACACTAAATTTGGCTCTGCGTGTCCCCAGGATTTTGTCACGAAAGGTCAAATGAGCCATTTCTGACTTAATGACCGCTTGTGTAAAGATGACGATGGCGTGTTTATCAGCAGAATATATTTCAGGTAGATGCTAAAACTCACAGATAAAGTAGTTTTGCCTGAGGTACCGACACAGGCAGCACTGACTGAACTTTACCTCTTTTCCCCCTCTCCTTACAAATAACCTGCGTAATGTGTTGGTAGCTGCAGGTAGAGAAGTAGTTAAAACAGACAGCATCCTTCATGTACATATTTACAAAAAAAGAAATTAAAAACATTCACTGAAATGTACATGAGCTTAAGAATGTGCTTTCTCCTGAACCAAAGTCCATACAGAAAGGTGTCATTTTTACACAACAACACACTAGAAGCTGTTCACTGATTGTTAAATGTAGTCAAGTTTAGCATCACGCCCACTCACATCTGTAATAATCATCATTCATTTCAATGCATTTCTAGCTTTAAGGCGACTGCTCTGCTGTAAACACTCAGGAATCTTAGACATTCTCAGAATTAACTCCGCACCCTGGCGTTTCTTTGTTCTTTTAAAAGTCCTGTACACTTCATCACCTTCCCTGCATAGATAACCTACAGTCAGGTCAGGTGATGGTTTGGTGGTGGTTGAATGGATGAGACTGGGAGCACGGTTGTCTCCCCCAGCCACAGGACGTGAATAATGTTTCTACATATATTCATTTTAGGATAGGAAAAGTGGTAGAGCAGAGCCCGACCCCAAAAAGAAAGCCTCTTTTAGGTCCATCAGTACCACCCTGGCCTCCAGCATCAAGAGACGTAGGTCCTCCAAAGACACGGTAAGGAGACGAAGAAGCAACGCCTGTCCCTTCTTACTACTCACTCTCTTGTCTCCTCGTCTTCCTCGCCCTCTGTCTCTCTTATCTCTTCTTCTTCTGTCCTATCTCTGCCCACATTCCCAACATCCGGCCAGCGATAGAGCACCATCCATCTACTCCTCTCAGCCATGACTTCAGCAGCCTATGCTGCCACCTGTCTGTCCGTCAGCCATTGATCAGCCATTTTCATTGTCATTGGACATCTGTAGACTCCTCAGACAGGGCATCAGTGCAGAGACTTAGGTCAGGACAGTGGAAAAACTGGGTTTGGATTGAAGGAAAACTCCCCTAGTGACCCAGAGTGTTCACATGGACAAGGATCTGATGGGAATAGTGCAGAGGTTGTCAAACTGTTGTACTGCTGTTGTCACTTATTTTAATATTTAGACATTAACTTTTAAATTTAGTTGTTTTATTTTAGTGTAAAACTAATAACAGGCGTGAAAGAAAAATCTCGATACATTGAAATTGTATTTACACTGAAACGCAGTGTTTTGTTTCACGATACAGCACTGTATCAATTTTAAAGTATAACAAATGCTTTTATTTCTTACATTTACAAATGTAGACCCCTCTGTTCCAGTTTCAGTCACCTGATGTTAAGCCTGTAACAGCATTGTCTTTACTATGCTGACAGCTTTCCTACAAATAAATTGTTAAAGAAAACCTCAGTATATCACCATGCCTATAGTATCGCAGGATATTGCAATATATGCTATTGTTGCCCATACATTGTGATATGTATAATATTGCTAAATTCTTGCCACACCCCCTTAGGCAGTATCCAAATAAATTTCAACCCTCAATCTTTAAAGCCTGATAATCTAAACCTTTAATTTAAAGATCGACAGAAATGTGCTCTATTATTTGATTTGATTTGCTGCTTCAAACACCACTAGAGGGAGGTTTTGTACCAGCAGTGGCACCAGTACCGCAGTTTGAAAACCATGGCTTCATTTGTTTCTGGAGGAGGAGGAGCTGCTCTTCCTCCGTGGTGCTGGTTTGTACAGAATTCTGGCATGAGTGTTCTCTTTGGTGTGTGTGTGTGTGTGTGTGTGTGTCCTGTCTTTTTGGATTGCACCAGGTCTTGTTTTTGTCCACTTTAAAAACTGTTTTCTCTGGCTGTGTTTGAAGTTTTCTTTTGTTTTTTTGAAATGCATGCGCTCAAACAGTGCCCCGTCTGTGTAAAGTTTTATTTTATAAAATCCATTTCTGAAGGATTTTTAAAATTTATTTTTATGACAGCCACTGATTCCGAGAAGAAAACTGAAACTTCTTCTTTTTGTCTTTATGTCCAATTCAGGGTTCACACTTGTGGATATATATAAATCAAAAATATTGTTTCTTTTTTATCATATATTGTTTGATTTTGTTCTACTTTTATTTAAAATATGTCCCTGTGTTCTGACCTGTGCATGTTTTTTCCAGGGTTTTATTTTCAGGTAATGGAAACTGAAACCTTAGTCCATTGTTGTGTTCAAATGCAAGAAGAAAAAACATTCAAGCCATTTCTTCTTAAACTTCATCTTTTTCTTTGACTCATTTTATTGAACAGCACGTATTTAGTGCGTCAGGTTTTCTCCATTGCTTCAGTTTAGAGGTGAAGTAGACCAGCGACCTGTGTTGGTTAAATTTACATGCAACTGTTCTACCCTGAATCTGACACTGCTGCTGGTAAAACTAATTGCCTAAAAAAATCTCTGCTGTAATCTTTGGAGAAAGCACAGACATCTTCACAACTAATTTTTGTCCTAATGCTGTTTTCAATGTCTTTCTCTGTGGAGACAGTGAGTTCAAAGGTCACATACCAGAATCATTGAAAAGTTTTTTTTTTGTCTTTCAATCTCATGTGATGGTTGTCTTTATGGATTTGGTTTCTGCATTACAAAATTATATTTTAGGTTTTTGAAGTGTGGACATACCAGGTACTGACATCATATTTTA